TAGAGGGCCTCGGCTCCCTCTCTCTCTCTCTCTCTCTCTCTCTCTCTCTCTCTCTAGGGTTTAGGGTTTAGGGTTTAGGGTTTAGGGTTTAGGGTTTAGGGACCTAAACCCTAAACCCTAAACCCTGAACCCGTGCTGAGGCTGCCATCACTCCAGGGCTCCGTGGATGTAAGCTCCGCAGGTTTAGGGCTTAAGGCTTTCGGGTTTTGGGCCAACCAGCACCTCCCAACTACCCTCTATTATACCTTAAAGACCCACCATTAAGGACCATAAGGGCTCTATTAAAGGGTACTTGGGGGGTGCTGGAAGGGGTTTTGGGTTTAGTTGTTTTTTGATCGCCCCTTCTCCGTCAGCCTGAAGGGGAGTTTGGAGGGTTTAGGAATTAGTCAGGGCTTTAACCTATATAAAGGTTTAGGATTTAGGGTCTAGGGTTTAGGGATTTCGGGTTCTTTACTACTAAGTAATAGTGAATAGGTTCAGCAACTCTCTGAGTGGGACGGAAAGCTGGCACGTATAGCTGCACCATGCCGAAGACTACCCTAAACCCTAAACCCTAAAACCTAAACCCTGATGTTGTCTGCACTTTTTTTTCTCCATGCCGAGGTGCTAAGTGTACCTACCCGGCATTGCACAGGACAGGGCCAGCAAGAGCTCCGGACAGCAAGAGGGTGCAATGCCTCTCAGACCTCTGAACTGGACGCCTGCGAAAGGCCGTGTAGGAGTATCTGAGCGTCGCCCAAAGCGCGTTTTTTGTTGAAAAGCTTCCGACACCAAAATGCTTCGTGCACCTGTGATTATGGCCAAGGCTTCTGCGGCTCCGGGAGAGTCTGCAACTCCTGGAATTTCTGGATTCCACCGGGTGAGACGGAGAGGGCAGTCTTTGCTCAACTGAGACCCTGCTGGCTGGTTTTTTTTTTTTAAAGTGTTGCTGGCTGGGTTTAGGGTTTAGGGTTTAGGGTTCAGATACGGTTTGAGGTTTAGGGTTTAGGCTAAACCCTAAACCCTGAACCGCTGCACACCTATTGCTCCTGCAGCTCCTTTCGTGAGCACTGTTATGTAAACTCTTGCTGCTATGTCTGCTGTTTCTCCTACTTTTCCTGAAAGGGAGCAGGAGATCACGAAACGGCACGGAGCTGTTATCTGCGCCCTTTCATCTTGCCCATCATCTTCTGCATGTTCGCGACCTGAACCGGTACGATTGACGACCGTTCAACACAGGGATGGGCCCAGCCAGAGGCAGATGAGGGACACCCTCAACCATTGTACACAAAACACCTAGTTACTATGAATTGGAGTCGGAATAGCTTGTTATACTACTCCTTAGGGGTTCTTACTTCTAATTATACAAGAATGTACCCCCAAACCCGGTGCCAAGTATTAGGGCCACTATATTACAACACGCAATGCCAAGTTCGCTCAAGGTCTATTCGGGCAGTCCAGCATTCAACGGGTAGTTCTTTAAATCAGGGTCCCTTTTCAGGTTGTGTGTGTAAGGGTGCCGTACCCATTTTGGGGACCTAAAAATGCACCCAAGGTTAGAGAACTCCCCAAATTGAACCCTTATATTAGCACCCGTATAGAAGCCCTTGTAGATCCCTTTAAGGAACCCCCAAAATGGGACCCGAACTTAGAGAACTACCCATACGTCGCTTCCCTAAGCAGGGGCGCACCTGGGACGGGTCGATGCCCCCTAGGCCCTCCATCATGCCGCCCATGTTCTCCATCTTTCCAAACTCCTGCTGTTGAGGGTTTAGGGTCCTGGTCACTTTCCAAACTCCTGCGGTTTGGGGTTTAGGGTTTTGATCACTTTCCAAACTCCTGCGGTTTGGGGTTTAGGGTTTTGGTCACTTTGCAAACTCTTTCGGTTTAGGGTTTAGGGTTTTTGGTCACAGTAAGATGCTCGCGGACTCATTCAGGCTGACTTGGAGGGCTCATGTCTTGAGCATAATCGGACCCATGGCCAATGGTCACTGCACGGAAGCCCAGAGAACCCAATACCCCTTAATTAAGGAATATACTTTCAATCAGAATATTAAGACCCCTGTAATTTAAGGTATACTCCTTCACTATGGTGTATTGGGTTCTCTGGGAGGCTTTTGGAGGCGCAGGCGGCTGACCTTCATCATCTTCATCCTGGCATTTGCACGACATGCTGTGGCTGCGAACTATGCTGGCGGCAAGTATGAGTCATGTAGCAGCTCGTGTGCTGAAGCAATTCTTCAGAGTTCCTATACCCTAAACCCTCAACCCTGCTAGAGGACCTGTGAGGCAGAGGTGGAGCTGCAAGCGAGCCAGGCGCCACATGTTCTGGGCACCGCCCATTTGCTGGAGCATCCGTGGGTCCATGGCACTCTGCCTAGGCTGAGCTGCTAAATGAGATCGCAGAAGGAATTCAGCGTCCTTGCACTCATTTTGAGATCTGAGAACAAGGCATTTTCTGCATCACCTGGGAGAAAGCGCTTCAGTCAATGGTCAGTAAGTTGTCTGCTTATAAGTCATTGTTGTGTTACACCTAGAGCCTGTAGATGAGACGGGTAATTTACCATACGCCCTACTCTGCATCACTATGTATGCCCCTCTCTCTCTCTCTCTTCCTCTCTTTCTGTCTGTCTGTCTCTCTCTCTCATATATATATATATACACACACACACCTAGGAATAAGTACATACAAACAACCATACATACATACATACATACATACATACATACATACATACGTACATACATACATGCATACATAATTACATAGACAGACATACATACATACGTACATACTTACTTACATATGTACGTACATACATACATACATACATACATACATACATACATTCATTCATTCATTCATTCATTCATTCATTCATTCATTCATTCATTCATGCATGTAGCAAATACATATATAATCGATGAATAAATATGTATATATACTATATATAATATAATATAATACATACAGTAATGTATATGCATGCATGTATGTATGTATTTTTGCATGCATGTATGTGCCGTCGGTCGGTCGGTCGGTGGGCGGTAGATAGGTAGGAAGGTTTAGAAACCTTGGCTAATAATCCTGTTCTACATCAACCCTGAACCCTCAACCCTAAACTCAAAACCCAAAACCCAAAACCC